GGTTTATTTAAAAAAAAAAAAAAAAAAAAGGTCTTTAGAGCAAGATTTGAAGCGTTGTGACCTCTCGCACTTAAAACGTGGAACATTTTTCAGAGCCACATTAAGACACTTAAGAGAAAGACACTTAACCCCAATCATGTACAAGGCACCACTGCTGCAATTAGAGTGCTTTAAAGCTTAAAGATTACAAAGCATCTGTTAAATGAAGATAAGTAAAGGCATCATATAAACATATAAAAATACTTAATGAGTGATCATTAAGTCTAATGCCAGACTATTTATCTGACTTTTTTTTGTGTGTGTATAAATAATGAATGAAACAGTGCATGTGCTGAATCCATTACTGATGGACGGGTGTGTCTGGTTTCTCACTTTTTTCAGATCAGGGCTTCACTCAGCAGAAGGTGTCCTCTTCAAAGTCCATTAGCAGATCACTCACTCTTTTATTCTGAAAGGATTTAATTTGCCCAGAGCTTTCATGATGAATATACTAAGAACCCCATTGTTACCTTATTAAGGTTGCAGATTGACAAAAGCACTCATTTTAATCTCTTCCACACTCTCGCGTCATCGCCCATTCAGTGGTTGGTTTTTAGAGACTAGAAACGGGAAAAAAACCTTGTCACCCACACATTGCCCTTCCTGCTTGTGTTGATCATTTAAATTAGGATATAGTGCTAGACCGAATGTAGTTCTAAGGCATTTTATCTTCCGTTGGGCTTATTACTTTTCCACTGCCGGCACATATTTGTTTAATGCATAACCGAGGCACAAAAACAGGCTGCTTGTTACTCTTATTCTGCATTTCATTTTCCTGCACATGCCGTTCATAGTGCAGGCTACATTTAATGTTCAAATTAGCCCTGAAAGCTGGGCTCTGTTGTTGGTATTAGAGTTGTGTAATGAATTCATTGTCCATGTCGCTGACAGTATTGAATTCGAGTGCAGCGCTTCATTCATCTCACCTGCTGAGGAGCTTATTAAGTTGCCCTGACCAGGTATTCTCTCTCTGTGCCTGTCCATGATTGCATGGCTTTCATTTTGCAGCTATTAGTGGATCTGCCTCTGCACATTTGCCATTATTTATGTT